TCTAAAGATGCTTTTGTTTCTTCTTTTGTATCATCATCAAGATCTTAGTGTCAATTTTAGGTCAAATCTCAGATTTTTTTTAATCTGATTTAGTTTTAGATACTGATAAGATAATAATAGTGGGAGAATTTAACATTCATGTTGACCCTGGAGGTAATAACTTAAATATAATGCTATTTTTGACTGAATTGACTTTACTCAAGAAATTCACAGTTTTCCTTACCGTCATACCTTAGACCAGTCGTCCCCAAAGTGTGGGGCTCAGTGACATTGCAGGGGGGTGGAGGGGTGCGATGGATAGAAAATAAACAAACCTCTCAGGGAACTGTTCATGTTTTAACCCCATTTTGCACAGAGGCTCTGTTTAAAATGTATTGATGGTAATTGAATATTTTCACAAATAAAAAAAAAAAATATGTTTGAAATAACACCGACAGCAAAGAAAACTCTTCTACAGTATAGAACTAACAAAAGTGTTTCACTGTAAAGATGTTTGTAGTTTGTTTTGTTGCAACCTGAAGTGTGAAATAAACTTCCGTGGAGTTTGAAAACAAAATATGTGTCTAGGTTTACGTCTGGTTGAACAATGTGTGTACCCAGTTGATTTATTTTTTCTTTTTGGGGGGATTTTATTGTAATCCATAGGGGGACCAGAAGAAAATCTTTGGGAACCATTGATTTAGACCTTCTATTGGTATTTGGGACTGAATGTGAAGAATTAACAGTAGTTCCCCACAACTCTGTGCTGTCTGACCATTTTAAAAACCTTTGACTTTGTTTTAACTTAGTATTCCAAACCAGGGAAATTTTCTTTTATCATAGTAGATCTTTATCAGACAATGATGTAAAAACTTTTCCTCAGAATCTCAGAGAAAAACAGCAGAGGGCAGAATACTGGTCTTACAGGAAATCAGATCCCAACATAAAATTGAGTCAAACAACTGCAGGAGATGCAAACATTTTAAAATATTTTTGCGTATTTGCTTCGTTGAAATGAAGTTTATAAGTCAGCAATAATTTTACCCTGATTAAAAATAAAAGGTTTAATAGACAAATTTGTGTCATTTTTGAACTGCAGTTGGGAGTCACAAAAGATAATTTCATAGGCCAAAAATGACCTGTGGGCCTCAGTTTGAACACCGCTGCTCTGGATGGATAAAACTGATAGAGACATATCTGGAACACTTAAAGTGCAGTGATACTATTTAATGACTCAGAAGGCTTAAGACAAATAAACTCAAATTTTTTCAGATTTTTTTTGGTAAAATATCTTAGAAAATATGTATAATCTTGCTTCCATTTCACAGTAATGAAGTACTTTTTGTTTACCTAACAAAAAATACAACCAACTGCTTTGAGGTCTGCAGTAACGGCAGTGTTAGCTAAAACTGAAAAAGTTTTATTTCCTGTCTGCTACAGAAGTTTCTTTTGCATAAAACCCGACACTGGGCACCGATACTCTAAATCTTTATGCTCTAAACTTTTCTTTGATAACATTTTCAAAATGAAGATTCATCAGAGTTGTACAAAGTAAGTGAGTGACGTATCTGGGGCAGAGTCTCTCTGTCAGAGTAGTTTATTAAGGCTAACGTCATTCTTTGTTTCTTTTCCCAGCATTTGACTCATTTATTGGACTGAACCAGAACCAAAGCTGCAGCTCATACCAACTCATGAACAAGTTCTTCACGCTCTGAACAAAATGTCCGCTGGCGCTCCCACTCAGTCACTCCCACTGTCGCTGTCGCTATCATCACCTTCCTCCTGCTCTTCTTCCTCTTCCTCTTTTTTCTCAGTTTCCTCCACAAGTCCAGAGAAGAAGTCATTGTCGCCGAGGGCCTTTTTGGTGAGCGACTTCATCCGCCCGCCTTTCTTCTTCCTCTTGCGGTATTCGTCCACGCTCAGTTTGGGCAAACCAGAAACGTCCCAGAACTTGATGAGCTGGTCGTGGGCACAGCTGACCAGGAAGCGGGAGTCCCAGGACTTGACGATCTCTTCGACGGGTTCGCCGACGTGCTGCCCGATGCATCCGATGACCCGGTTGGGGAGAAGGTTGATGGCTCTGACAGGAGACAGGGAGGCCATGTTAATGGTTAAACCCTTAAACCAGAGTTTTGTTAATAGTAACTCAACTAACCGGATGTATCCGTCCATGGACGCCGTGCACATGATGTTTTCTGTAATCGGCGCGATGCAGTCTACTGACTCCGCCTTCAGAGCGAAGCGGTCGCTGGTGGCTCCGAAGCCGTTCCAGTTGAAGATGTAAACGGTTCCCTCGCTGGAGCCGCAGACCACCTTCTTCCCTCGCTTCATCACCGCCACCGAGGTCAGATCACCGCTCTGGTACTCCGACAGCAGCTCAAAGCGCCGCCGCTTCAGGTTGAAGACGCCCATGGTGCCGTCGCCACTGAGGACCCAGCAGTCACATTGGACATCAGCAAGAGAATGAGAGAAACCAAAAACAACTCCAGCATCAACACCTGCATAAACATGTCCTGGTTCTGAAACTGACCAGAGCAGAGCAGAAACTGTCTTTATATAAAGTTCACATAGTAAAAGTTCTTCAAGTGTTACAACAAACATATAAAAAAACTATATTAACATTAACAACAATGAATCTAATAATAGTAATAACTAGAAAATGTCAGAAAATATTTAAAAGGGGCCTGCCCAACCAGGGGATCTGATGCTAAAATTAGCAACAATGTTAACATTAGTCAAAATGTAGTTAACAATGTGGCGCATCATTAGCATATTAACCAAAACTGACTTACCCCATTTATTATGCAAACATCAGTAAATAAGCTAAAATTAGCTAAGATGCTATGGATAGCTTAAATTCTGTAGCTAGCATGTGGGGAATTACTAGCATGTGGACTTACATTCACTTACTCCATTCAGTTCACTAAATGTGGCTAATGTATCAAAAATAAGCTAGAATGCTTATTTCAGGCTAAAGCTAGCTTTAGGGCTATATCAATAGCATATAGAGTAATTATTATGTAAAACCACAAGAAGGATGAGTTTACTAACATTTATTTACTCCATTCAGTATGCAAACATTAGTGTCTTAGCTAGCTGAAATGAGCAATTTTAACTAATTTTAGAATTAGTCATTTTGGCTAATTTTAGCAGAAGAAGCAAAAATGAGCTAACTTGGTAATGAGTGTTGAATTGGCTGATCTCCTATGCACTGCATAAGCCCCAAAAATAATAACATACTGTGAAAAACTATAACAGAAAACAGTGTGCACTCTTAAAAATATTTAACTCGTGATCCAGGTCCAGCTAAGCATGTGTTACCTGGCAGTGAGCAGAATCCTCTTGTTCTGGTCCACAGTTATGTCGCTTATGTAATCCTCATGGTTTTTCATATCCATGATGGCTGTTCCCTTCCTCATATCCCACACCTGCAGAGAAAATGTTTTGCAATAAAATGTTTATTTTCTAGTTTTTTTTAATGAATTTATGAGTTTGCATATTTTAATATTTTTCTAATATTGTATGAAAAGGTTTAAGTGGTTACATGAAAAATCTGCAGAATGTGAAAATTTTATATCTGATTAATCAAATAATCATCAGAATATTTGATGACTTGAATCGATTACTAAAATAATTCTTATTTGCAGCCTTACTTCATTCTCCCAATATTCTGACTCTATTCTGGTAAAATTATAACTTTATTCTTGTATTATTATGAATTTATTCTGGTAATATAATGACTTTTTCCTGGTGGTATTATGAATTTATACTTGAATTATTACAACCTTATTCTTGTATTTTAATTTTTTTCTAATATTCTGACTTTACCCTGGTATTTTTTGCTTTCCTTAATCCTAACTCTCCTTCATAACCACAGTAGTCCTGTAGGGGGGTAAATCCTTTTCCCCAGCAGCATTTCTGTCCAGTATCCACGTCCAGACCTTCAGGGTGCCTCCGTCGTCCCCCGTGGCCAGCATGTTTTCGTCCACCAGAAGCAGGCTGTTGATGGGGGCCCCGTGGGCCCCCCGGATCCGTGACACCAGCTGCCCCCGCTCCATGTCCAGCAGGTGGACGGCCTTGTCCCGGGACACGCTGTACAGCTTCAGCCCGTCCGCCGAGATGCGCACCTGGCGGCAGGACTTCAGGTGGTGTCCGGACGACCACAGCTCCCGGTTCTCTCCCTCCGTACAGGAGTAGGAGAAGGCGTACACGTCCCCGTCCACGTCCCCGCACACCAAGATGTCCCTGCTGGGGTGCAGAGCCACCGTGTTGGCGATGGCCTCCAGCTGGATGTCCTGCGGGGTTTCCCGGATCTTCGGGCCGGGAGGCTCCTCTTCCTCCTCCGCATCATCCTCCAGTTTTTCCGACTCTGATTCTGATGTTCCGGGATCTTTATTCGGTTCTGTTCGGACACTTTCAGGCGGGTCTGTCTCTTCAGAAGTGGGTCCAACGTGCTGCGTGGAGGCTGCCATGTTGTTTTGCTTTGTTTCTTCTTCTACAGTTAAATATAGGAGCGTTTCAGAGAACAACTTCGGATACTGACCTCTAGTGACTAACAGGTAGTTAAAAAACCATTAAAGCAAAGCTCACTAAACAGATAAAATATTAATTCATTAAGTTTTCATTTAAAAAATATGTCTACTATTTATTGATGGCTTTCTAAGACGGAGAATTAGGGGAAAACACACAATCAGGATAATAAAGTAAAAAGAGAATAAACTTGTAATAATTATTATTTTCAAAATACAACTTTATTTTCACTTCAATCCGAAGCTTCTACTGTTGCAACACTGACTAGAGATGCTGCCTGCCCACAACATCATGAGTTATAACGAGATTTATTTTCCCATTGGGATAAATAAAGTAGTTTAAAATTTTTATTGGATTGTTCGACTGGATTTCAATGAATTCATATTTTATCTGTTTAGTTAGCTTTTCAGTTGTTAAATCTCTAGCAAAATAACGCAACAGCGCTCGATTGGCCACTCTGACAAAGAACCCGTTTATACGGAAGTGACGTAAGGACGCCAAAGATGGCGTGAGTTTCAAACCGTCTCTAGATAAATGTTACAGTAAGTGTTCCTTACGGCTTTCAGGGGTTAAATTATTATCTGTGTTGTTAATTTTAATAGACATGAAGCGGTCTGAGGCAGTTTTATGGTTTGTAAAAGGTGCTAGTAGCTAAAAAATCAGTTTAATGTTCCAAACATCCACGAAAACTTTGTGTGTTGTCGATTCGCTTCAGCTTATCACGACTTCTTAATTGAAGTATATAGATTTATTTTATGTCGTGTTACGACTGGAAGTATTAGACAACGTATTATTGAAGTTAACATGTTGTGATTTATTGGGGATACATTGAACCGTTCAGGAGCGCAGTGATGTGCCTTCAGATAAAAATGGCGACTGCTTTTAAACTCTTTATTATCGCCGAATTAAACAGCTGATCAGAAATATCCAGTAGATTAGTCTTTTTTTATTATAGATATTTTATATCCCGAGTTATAAAGTGATTCATTTTCATAGCGCAGATTTTTAAATGGAGATCGCTGCAGAGTGACGTTGGAAGTTGGCAGTCTGTTGTCAAGGTAACGGCAGCCTCAGCCAATCCGGGGCCAGCTTTCTGAGTCTCAGAGGGTTGGAGACAGAGCAACATCAACAAGGCCTGGAGCAACATGGAGTCAGTCCTCTGGGAGTAAAAACTGGAGCATTTCAGCTGATAACCAGACTGTATCTGTTCCTCCTGGATATTAGGGGGGAAAACCCACACAAACCGTACAGTCCCACAGGGAATCTAAAGTAATTATTTAAATACCCATGTTAATGACTATTTTATTAGTTATTTTATATTCGAAGTCTCTCTGGAAAACTTTGATATTGATTTTCAGATAATCAGATTATGGTAACTAGTATTTATATTTTAAATGTATTTCAGACCAATAATAGCACAGTTATAAGATGCTTAAGGCCAGGATTTGAACCTGTGACCTTCTGCTGTGCAGCCCGGTTGTGTTTAATCCACTTTACTGTATGTTTTTTTCTGTCTGGACACAGATTCCTGCTGTTAAGACAGTTTTTAAAACATTATTCATCTCACAGTTTTTTTTTCTATTTCACAATTTATTCCACTTATTGTTTGAATTATGCCTGCAGAAGGAAAAGAATTGGGTTGGAGACATGCAGCCGAGACCAGAGGATCGGAAGACCTCAAGGTAAAATTAATGCAGACTTAATTAATAAATAAAATAACTGATCTCAAAGTGAAAACAGAAAGAAATAAAATAAAGCAGAAAAATTAACTTTTCTCATTTTAAATTGATAAAATCAAATTAATTCAAGCAAAGGATGACCTGAAAATATTTTCATTTAATAATTTAAAAATGGAAATAAAATATTCTAATCATAATGTTTGGTGTTTCCTTCAGGAGGCCTGTCGTCTTGAGCTCCTCGGGTCAAAGAGAGGAGCAGGTGGAAGGCGAGGGAGGAAGAGGAGAAGATGAAGAAGGAGTGATGAAGAGGAGTGTAAAGGGGAGGAGGGCGTCTTCAGAGGGGAGGGAGATGAGCCAGGAGTCCAGAGAGCTGAGATGGAGGGTCAACCAGCTGGAGAAGGAGAATCTGAAGCTTTCGGTGCGCCACAACCAGGAGGTAAGGCTGCAGCGCCCTCCAGTGGCCGAGTTGAAAATAACAGATCAGTAAAAACTGAACTCTGCCAACATGAAAACTCATGATGTACAAATCATTTCTACTGCTCCTTCTATGAAAATAATGTTTAAAAAGCAGGACAAATGAAATAAAATGGGAATATTTTATTTTATTGTTGGTCATGTAGGTTGTTATTTAGCCTACATACACCATCACTTTTCTCTGCTACTGGATCCATTTCCTCCAGTGATTTACCGCAGAATATCAGTTTTGTATACTTATATTATTGGTTTGTGTGTGTGTGTGTTTATATGTGTGTTTATGTGTGTGTGTCCAGGTGTGTTTCCTGCAGGCGGAGGTGGCCCGTTTTCGCTCCTTATTGGAGCGTAGCGAGGCTCATCGGACGAAGCTGCAGTTCCAGCTCGCTGCCAGCCACAGAGAGAGCAACCGGGTCGCCGAGCTCGACCGGGACAGAACCGCTCTGAAAGGTGAACGAATCAAACGCACTCAGAGAGAAGAGAGCAGAACTGGAGGAGATCAGAACGTTCTCCTGCAGATCAGAACATCAACATGTTGCAGCAGTTCTCACTGTGTTGTGTTTTTTATTATTGATCCTGCAGAGAAATCAGCAGAGCTGCAGCAGATCATCGCAGAACTGCGGAAAACTCTGCAGCTTAGTCAGCAGGCCAGGCAGAACGACCAGCAGGCGCTGCAGCAGGAGGTGGAGGAGAGAGACCAGCTGATCCAGAACTTCAGCTCCGAAAACCAGCGGCTGCACCAGCTGCTGCAGGTCAGAAAACTAGCAGCTGCACCAGCTGCTGCAGGTCAGAAAACCAGCGGCTGCACCAGCTGCTGCAGGTCAGAAAACCAGCGGCTGCACCAGCTGCTGCAGGTCAGAAAACCAGCAGTTGTTGTGTTGCAGCTAATTCGTAGAAGCCTGGGAGGGAAGATTGTTGCTGTTAACTCTTGACACGCTAACAGCTCAACATCCAGTCAGCAGAGACAATATTAAATCATGATGTCATCTGCATAAGGACGCACTTCATTCCTACCTTTACTAATACCTAAAAACCAAAATAAAACTTGAAATTGGGCTTTGAAATTCAGTTTTGGGCCAGAAAATTCTCTTAAAGAGACAGAAACATAAAACATTTGGAAGCTGCTGTGGCGTAAAGTTTAACCACAAAAATAACTCTAGTAGAGACCAAAATAACCTGCATTTAGCTGCTCACGTTCAGACGGTCGGTTCTGTTCTGCAGGACCAGCAGGCGGCTCTGGAGGCATCTGAGAGGAAAATGGCCGACCTGCTGCGGGAGAGACAGAAGGAGGCGGAGGAAAGCAGACGGCTAGCCGAAGAGCTGAAGACGCTGGAGGAGAGGAGCGGCAGGGAGAAGGAGGTGAGGCGGGCCGACGCTTCCTGCCGCTCTGCAGGTGGAGGATGACAAAGATGGAGGATCATGTTTGGTTTCCTCCAGATCGCAGATGAGAAGGTGAAGCGTCTGGAGGCGGAGAAAACGGCTCACCTGGAGTCCAGGAGCAACCTGGAGGTCAGAAGGTTAAACGACTGCTGATGTCAGTCATTCAGGAAAAGGTTTCTTCTGGTAGCAACAGATACATGAAACACAACAAAATAAGCAGCTTAAAAAGGCTTTAAACAATTAACTGCCTGAATGTCACTAACAACAACAAAAATGGTTTTTGAATTGAAAATGTTGCTTATTTTGTGGTTTTAGATTAAAATGTGATTCATTAATTACAGGCTTCAGTACATAGTAGATTTATGCAGAGTTTTATAGACTCTGTTTCTGTCTGACGGCCTCTCTGTGTGGCTGTGTGGCCTCTAGCTGCGGGTTCGGGACCTGGAGGCAGCGGTGGCAGTGGAGCAGTCCGGCCAGAAGGAGGCGCAGTGCAACCTGGAGCTGCTGCATACGCACTTCAGAGAGCTGGAGAGAGCTTACAGCCTGGAGAGGGAGAGGAGGAGTCACACTGAGCACGCTCTGGAGCGGTGAGCCCCGCAGCATGGAGGCACCGCTATGCTACGCCACTATGCTACGCTATGCCGCTATGCTACGCTACGCCGCTATGTTGTGTGGTTATTCTAAGCTTCTTTGCCATGCTGTTAGGCTATGCGGCAATGTTGTGTCACTATGTTGCCAGACCAGTCTGCTATGCTACACGCTGCTAGGCTACACACTGCTAGGCTACATGATGCTAGGCTACACGATGCTAGGTTACACGCTGCCATGCTAAACGCTGCTATGTTACATGATGCTATGCTACACACTGCTAGGCTACACAATGCTAGGCTACATGCTGCTAGGCTACACGCTGCTAGGCTACATGCTGCTGGGCTACATGATGCTAGGCTACACGATGCTAGGCTACACGCTGCCATGCTAAACGCTGCTATGCTAGGTGTCCTGGGTCGTCCCTCATGTCTAAGCAGTTTATCACCGCTACTTTGTGTTAAATATTTCCATAACATTTTACCCACATTGATGTTCATGCAGCCTGCAGACAGAGTTCAATCACTGCCAGACTGAGATGGCTGTTGCCTTGGAAACCGAGAGGAAGGCAACCTCTGACCTCTCAAAAAAGCTTGAGGAGGAGAAGAGTCAACTTGGCAAAACGCAGTCGTTGCTGCAGCAGGTAACAGATTGGAGACATTTGGACAACTCGACCCTCTGCTTGGTGTCTCGCGTCCCCCCTGGGGGTCCCGACCCCCATTTTGGGAACTCTTGGTTCTAGAGCGGCCATGTTTTCCTGTGTTCAGGCAGCAGCGCAGCATTCTGAAGCAGAGGACGCCTTCCACAACTTCCTGCAGCAGATCATCGCCCTGCTCGGCACCATGGCTCAAAACCTAGCACAACCCGCAAAGCATGATGGGAAACCGAGTCCTGCTGAGGTCCTGCAGCTGCTGGCGGTCACTCTGAGCACCAAGCAGCACAGACTGGAGGAAACCAACCTCCAGGTCCGGATCAGGTCCACTCCGAGCAACCCGCCACCTTCCTCCCAGAAACCTGATCTCCGTTTCTCCTTCAGGTCCAGGACCTGCTGGCGGCGACCCAGAAGCTCCACGAGGAGAACCAGCTGCTCCAGCAGCTGACCTCAGACCAGCAGAAACAAATTGATGTAAGTCTGGTGTCGGTTCTGACTGGACCTCACAATGAGGTTCTGGAGCGACAGATTAGGGTCCAAACCTCTGGGTTTAACTACTTTGGTACCACAGATTTTCATTATTATGTCAGTTTTCTAATCAAAATGTGAATGAAAACCAGATAAATATTAGTTTTCAGTCTGACATGGTTGGACCTCACTGATCTAGACGTATTTTAAAGTTTCAGGGAGACGACGAACATTTAGGCTAAAGATGAACTTTTCTGTCCGTCCATCAGGATTCGCAGCAGATGCTGGGCCAGCTGCAGGACGAGGCCTCTGATTGGACGATACAGAACACGGCGCTGCAGGAGGAGCTGCAGACAGTGAAGGAACAGAGCAGAAAGGAGATCCAGGAGCTGAGAGAGGAGTTCAGCAAGGAGTCAGCGGTGATTCACTTAGTGTTCAAGAACGGTTTCCACTTCCTGTAGAGGAACGCTTCCACTTCCTGTAGAGGAATGCTTCCACTTCCTGTAGAGGAACGCTTTCACTTCCTGTAGAGGAACGCTTCCACTTCCTGTAGAGGAATGCTACTTCCTGTAGAGGAACGCTTCCACTTCCTGTAGAGGAATGCTTCCACTTCCTGTAGAGGAATGCTACTTCCTGTAGAGGAATGCTTCCACTTCCTGTAGAGGAACACTTCCACTTCCTGTAGAGGAACGGTTTCTAACTTATCAGTAACGTTTCAGCAAAATACAGGAGTTTGTTTTAAGTGAATAATTTTTAATATTGATAAATAAGTGCTTGTTCCATTGCAGATTGTTTATCTCATAACATTGGGAAAATGTCTTGTTATAAATTAAATAATGTGAAAATGTAACAAGCTCTTTTCCTGCCATATTAAAATTGTTTGACTTTTCAGCTCCTACATCTTGCTGAAAAGTCTCTCATTAGTTAATTTTGTATAATTTAAAATGTACTAAGATATTTGCAGTGGAAACTGGACAAAGATACTTAGTAAGATTTTGTATTTTTTACAGTGTTTGGATGAAAAATCCTTCACTTTCTTTACTGAAGTTGTTTGAAATTGAACTGATTTTAAATCATTTATTTGAAAGAGAACATGACAGAGTTAACCACAGAGCTTGTTCTCCACTTATCTCTTATTTAAAGTGAAGTGCTTTTATTTTGGTGAGTTTTTTCTTGTGCGGTCCTGTTAAAACCTGCCTGATCTGAAGCTCTGGACTCTGTTGGGGGTTGAATACTTTTCCTCGGCTCCATCCTCTCTCCCGTCTCGGTGCAGAATAAGTTTTCACTCCCTGTGTGTTCAGGTCCGCCTGGCCTTCCTGCACCGCCTGAACCAGCGCCTGCTGACCGGCTGCGTCCTCATCCAGCCGCCCCACAGAATTCTGGGAGACTTCACCTGGAGGGAGCTGTGTGATGTCATCAGTGAGCAGGTGGATCAGATGACCTCTGACCTGCATCAGGCCAAGGACAAGGTGAAGCTGGAATGTCTGTGCTGCAGTGAAATATCTGATTCCAGACAAAACGGATCAAAAGTGTCGATTTTTTCCTTCTGCTTCATCGCGTTTCACCGTTTCAGCACAACAGTTTGGTTTCTCCTTCTCTGCGCAGATCGCTCACCTGCAGAGTGTGTGTGACAAGAAGAGTGTGTGTGTGCGCGAGCTGAAGCGCAGCCAGGGGTGTGTGTTGTCTAGCCTGCAGGAAAACATGAAGAGGAGAGAGGAGACCTGGAACCAGCAGCACACACACACCGTCAACCAGCTGCAGAACCAGCTGCAGGTAGCACACACACACACACACACACACACACACACACACACAGGAGATGTGACGAAGCTGGTCTGAAGTCAGCTGAGTCTCCCTGCAGCGACGTTTTCATTTTATTCCTCTGTGGAAAAACGACAAAACGGGAGCAGAAAATGTTCATCTGAAAATTCTTTCCGCCCAAGAATCTGATTGATGGAAGAAAGTTGATGCTGCTCTTTGCTAACTCAGGATTTCTGCAAGGTATCAAATTGTTCAAATTTTAGAAGTATTAAATGTAATCCAGATAAAACAAACCATTGTACAACCAAACATTTAGTTTCTTCTTCTTTCATTCTGAGAAACTCTGGCTTCATTCATTCATCATTTCTCTGCGGTTTGTTGTTTAATTTGACATAAGCTCATTAAGCCGCTAACGTTAGCTAGCCAAGCATAAAAAACCAGGAGTCACATGTTTGATTCAGTAAATAATTCTTGAACATTGATAAAAAGAAAATTTTTCCCATAAATGAAATAATCTGCTAGTGAAACTGTTTCTTTTTTTTATCAATATTCAAGAATTATTTACTGAATGTTGCTGAAATGTTACTTGTGACTTAGTTTTGTCTTATTTTTTAAGATATTTGCACTAGACAGTTTCCAGGTTTTAATTAATTCTTTAACTTCTTTCTGGGTCAGCAGTGCAGCTCGTCTTAGAACTCCCCCAGTCTGTTTTTCTTATAGTTGAATCATGACCTCTGACCTTTCACCAAATTAAACGTCTCATGACAATCATGAATCTAAATGATCATAATTAGTTCTGTCACATTTTGCTGTGCAATAAATTACCCAGAACTTATTGAGATAAACAGTCATATTGTTGTTCTGAGACAGTTTTAAAGTATCATAATGGTAGAAATAATGCACATCCAATAAACTTTAAATTCTAATGAATATTTAACACTGGAACTGGAAGACATTTTAAATATCTATAATAGATAAAACAGCAGAAACAACGAATAGAGTTAATGATGAAGTTTCTGGATAAACAGATAATAAATGTTTAGCAGAGACCAAAACTTTTCTCATCCAGTTTTTGGTAGAAGGAGAAAAACAGTAAATCATGTAAATGGAAATTATTCAGCTTGTTTCAGTTTATTAATTGATTTATTGATTATTGTGATCATAATATAAAGTTCCTAACAATAAATGCCAACATTACGTCATGTTTTAATATTAACACATTTTATTTGTTTTCTTGACACTTAAGGACAAATTAGGAAATAATAAAATCAATTAGAAGCTTCAACAGTAAAAATGATAAAATCATCTGATTTGCAGCTTCAGCTGATACAATCTGATCACCATGGAGATTATTTAGAATATTGATTTGATCATAAATCTCTTGTCGGTCGTCTCCTGCAGATGTGTCGCTCTCAGTGCAACGCCCACAGGGACCGCGTCTCCTCGCTGACCTCTGACCTCTCCCGGAGCCGGCGCGAGTCGTCGTCCCTGTTGGCGGCCTGCGCCCTGCTGGCGGGCGCCCTGCGGCACGCCCACCGCTGCCTGCGCTCCCTGTCCGAGCAGAAGGCGGTCCTGGGCCGGCGGCTGGCCGAGCGGGAGCGGCTGGAGCTGGAGGTCCGGAAGCTGGCCGACGCGCTGGGCGGCGAGCGGACGGAGGAGGAGGAAGAGGAGGAGCGAGGAAGGAGGGCGAGGAGGAGGTGGAGGAGCGGCGCGGGCGCCGTGATGGCCGTGAACCGGTGGACGGCTCTGAGGAAGGAGACCGAGGTGGTGCTGCGGCTGGAGAGGAGCGGCGGCAGCGTCTGCGTGTGCGGAGCGCCGCGTACGGCAGCCCTGAAGGGTCAGTTCACCTCTCTGAATACTTCTGGGCTTTTACTTCATTATGACCCTTTGATTCAGTTAGTTTTTACAGTGTGTTTGCTGTCTTTTGATGGTCATTACTAGTTAAATATTGTTTAGTTTCAGTTTAGTAAATGTATATTTTTTTAAATGTTTCATCCTGCAGCTTTAACCCAAACTGTGTTTTATTGTTTGACAGGAGCTGAAGTTCCTGCAGGGGTTTTTTCTCGCTGGCTTCGCTCTAAAAGCCTCTCCGCCATCATCCTGTCCTCCATGGCCGACCTGCAGGGGGCGCTGGCTGACTCAGGTAACCAACCTGTTAATGTGAGCCATCGTCCAATCAGAAGCTCCGCTCAGAGCCCGCCTCTCTTTCCAGACTCCTCTTCCGCTCATGTCATGGCCGCCGCTCGCTCCGGGTTCTCCCGCCTCCTGGACCAGCTGCTGGACCAATCAGCTCTCAGCGTTTGCTCTGGTTCGGCTGAGCGGATCGCAGAGCGCTCCTCCCTGAAGGTAGAGGTTTGGGTTTGGTTCTGCAGAACCTCTGGCCCCGCTGACCTCATGTCCCCCCCGCCAGACGCTGGTCTCCGGCCTCCAGCAGCACTTCCTGCTCTTCAGCCAACGGCTGCACTCCGCCGAGGTGGAGAGGCGGAGCCTGCGGCTGGAGGTGTCCAACCTGAAGAAAGAGCTGCAGCAGGAGCGGGCGGAGCTGGTTCTGATGGCGAGTTTGGAGGAGGACTGGGTTCTGCTCAGGCAGCCGCTGTGTGTCTGACGCCGTGTTTCTGCGTTCAGGTTCCGACGGAGCGATTCCAGACGGCCTGCGAGGAGCTGAGGCTCTCTCTGAACAGAGAGCAGGAGGCGCAGGATCTGATCCGGGAGCAGGACAGGCAGCTGCAGCTGCTGCAGCAACGGGTCGACAAGCTGGCCTCAGAACAGCACACACTGACCCACAGCAAACAGGTGGAGAACCAGACAGAACCAGACAGGAACAGACAGGAACAGACAGGAACAGACAGAACCAGACAGGAACAGACAGAACCAAACAGAACCAGACAGAACCAGACAGGTTTATGAAGAAACGTGTTCACAGGTCTGAGTGTACGTTAACGGGTTTGGTGGGAATTATAAAATCAATAAAAATCAGCTTCTTCCAGTCATGCCAAGCAGCTCTGTGCAACCATGTGCAGGACTTTTTCACAGGCCGACTCCTCCTCAGCTGTTCTCTGATCGTAGCAACTATGTGAGGAAAATCTGGTTTTGTTTTGTAGATTTTCCAGAACACCTTCTGCTGCATGTGATATTTATCTGCCTCTGTTCTTTTTGCACCGATGGCAGTCTGCTTCTTTACTGTGTTCTTCAGCTGCAGTGGAGAATTTATTTTAATTTATAAACCAAAATGTCACCCAGTAGAAACATCAATTTAAAGAAAGTTGCAGCCATTACTAGAACTTCCACTAACGAGGATTCACAACAACAACATGTTTCTGACAGAAACCTCTGAGTTTGAAGCTCCGTTAGAGCAGAGCTCAGAGAGCGCCACCTTCAGGAAGCTGTCAGAGTTTCTCCTTTAAATGTCCCCCTCTCTCTCCATCAGCTGAGCCGTAAAGAGAACTCCCTGAGAATTCTGGGTAAGCAGCTGGCGGGCGTTCAGAAGGAGAAGAAGCAGCTGGAGCAGCAACTGCAGAGAGCCGAGGAGCAGCTGAGGGAGGCGGTCAGGTAACAGAGGATGGATGAAAACCTCTTTAAATTACATAAATGTTACATTTCAACAGGATTTGGTTCAAAACAAACAAAGTTATAAATGTGTTGCAGACATCGCATTAATAAAGATGCAGATCTGCTTATTACGCAGCCAGTTCAACACAGGAAATGTTCCCTTAATGCAACTTTTAAAGTAAAAATAAAAAGGTTAAAATATAAAGTGGTAAAAAATCAATCAAGTTACTGACTGACTCATTTAGATTAATGATTTCATTCTGATGCCAAATGTAATGCAACACAGTTTGACTGGTTATCATGCCAGCTGGTGGACTTTGAGCCAGCATGAGGCGACAGTAGACAGAACAAACAGATTTTAACAGCAGGAACTGAGAAACGTCCCGACTCGGTGTGAGGGAGGTTTGAGGAGACTGAAAACCATCAGGACGTCGTTATGTTGAGAAAACTATCAGTGAAAAGCTTATTTGGAAATGTCCGCAGCATCACTGTGGAAAACAGCCGATTCTCACCACCAGTTTAACCACAGTGACTTTCCTACTGGTTTCTCAGGCGGCAGCAGTTTGTGGTTCGCTGCCTGAAGGCTGCAGAGTCGAGCTGCAAGCAGGTGAGCAGAGCCAGCCTTCACACACTTCCTGGAGAAACCCGGCCGCTAACACACTCCTGCTCTGTCAGGTCAGAGAGAGTCTGGCCCAGTCGCTGCACTCTGCCGCCACTCAGCGGCGCCCCCTGCTGTTCGCCCTGGAGTACCTGAATATGAGCGAGGAGAAACACCTGATGGGAGCTCCGGAGGTGGCAGCGTGTCAGGTAGCAACGCAAAAACTACCAATAAATAATCCAGAATCCAGAGCCGAAACCTGCCAGGGATTTTTACCATGTGGTATTAGGGCTTTTACTAGGACAGAAACAAAACGTGTACATTTCTGCCAAAAACTCAGAAATGTTGTGATTATCCAGAAATCTTTCGAGAAAGAAAATTTTTGACATTTGAAAATTTGAAAAAGTTTTTGTAGAAAATTAATCTAAAAATAAGATTTTTGGCAGCAAATTTTATTGTCTTTTTGTTTTAGAACATTTCTGAGATTTCTCTCAAAGTTTTTGGCAGAATTTTACTACGTTTTCTTTCTACAAAAAATAAATAAATAGCATTGCGCCGCACTGCTATGCTGTCGTAGATTTTGAACGTTAGATATATTAAAGACGTCTAGTTTTCAGTTTCTTTTGGGCTTGTTTGAATAAATCTGTTTTCAGAAATAAGAACAGGATTTGGGCCCCCTTGTTTCAAAACACTCGCTATATTTAGCCAAGTTTAAAAGGAATATAAGATGATTTGGCTGCAGCAAAGTTGGATTTTCAGTAAAACTCTGGATGAACTTTGTCTTGGCTATAAAAGCGTAAATACTCTGTGTTGTCCGCTTTCTGTCTGCAGAGCTTCCTGTCCGTCGTGTCGCAGCTGCATCAGGCCTGCTGCTCCCGGATGGACTGGCTGGAGCAGGAAGTCTCCGCCCACCACAGTCATGTGACCGCTCTGCGCGGCGAGCTGCAGGACGCCTGCCTCCGGGAAAACCTGGCCTTCATTCCCGTAAGACATCACCCCCCAGACAGAAGATTCAGTTCTTCTGAAGTTTTAGGAACTATTTCTTCCTTTTTAAATCTGTTTTTATGTATAAGTATCTCTTTGCTTCCCGTTGTGGTTTAGACACGTCGCTGTTTAGAGTCCAGTAAAAAGAAAATATTACATGCAGGTTTCAGATCTGAGTAACAAAAACAGTTGGCTGATACCTGCCCCATCTTCCCAGAGTCTCTCTGCAGTTTATTTTTAATCAGGTTGATAAACTTTCACCAGTTTCAGATGAACGTCTTAGAATTAGACTTTTGCAGCTTTTTTGGCTTATTGAAGCAGATTTCACTTATTTCTGCTCATATAAACATCACAGTTTTAAAGGTTTTAAGTTTATTTCTCTTTTTCCCACGTTAATCACATCCAGAGGGTTTTATTGTCCTAAACATGCTCACCTGGACAGCTTAAACAACAACATAAAACCGGTTTAATATAAATTGTAAAAACAGAAATCTTCATTCATGTTCCGTATTTATGCACTTTTATTTTTCATCCTGTTTCAAATTAAATGAGTCAGAATCTGTCGGTGTTTCTGTTTGAGGTGGACGCTCTTCCTGGTCCGGAGGTCGATGAGGAGAAGCCAGACTTTCTTCCTCTTTCTGGTTTCTCTGAGAAGCCAAACTAAAGACAATGTGACCCGTCAGTTCTGATCCGAAGCGCGGTGAAACAAAAACTCGCTCCTGGTTTCAGTCCTGGGATGTTTAACGATGTGAAGTCGGATCAAACTGGAAGTTTCACCTTCAGGAAACATTAATCAGCTGATCTGCTGCCGGCGATGACGGACCTGTGGAGGTTTCTGCTTCTGATACCTCAACATGTTACAGAAAAAACCAAACGGGACATTTCACACTCATCTCTTTCTGTTACTTAAATGTCAGTCTAACTTCATGAATTTTTTGCAAATCCTTGGAGAGAAAGAAAACTGATGTACTAAAAACCAGACGAATAAAACATAGGAAACAGTCAAAATGTCCCCACAAAGTCAGAAATACACAAAACATTAAGAAAAAAACAGAAGAAAGAAAAAATATTGGAGAAGGAAGCAGTTGTTGGGTTTTTAAACCTGCTAAGGAGAAAAGACATGAAAGAAATAAAGTCCAGAAAGATTAAATTCTCCTAAAAAAAAAAATAAAAATTACCAGAAAAGAAGCTGCAAGCTGTTATAAAAGGGATCCAAACTGGGCTGCGTCTGTGGAAATCAGCTTCATTAGTCATGATTTAGATATTTTAGGAAGTTGTTTCTGAGCTCAACACACAGCTTTGTGTTTTTGGGACATTTAGTCTGTTGTTAGCGCCCCCTACAGCCCAAACTTTATTCAGCTTGACCAATTCTCTAACTTCATATGATAAAGGAATAGAAAGCAGGTTTTCATCCAGAAGTCATGTCAGGCCGTTTCAGAGGTTGAATCGGCCATTTTTATGAAATAAATGGTTTAAAATCAGGAAAACTCCTGGTGTTGGTTGTTTGTAAACGTTCCTCATCACAATCCTGGTGAATTAGATCCAATTATCTGTTATTGTGTCTAAAATTTGATAATCAGTTGAGTCTGGATCATAACTCTTAATTGCGCTGCAATATGCTGTATCGTAGTTGTCAACATATTTTACAGGTGAGTGGTTTGTTTTGGTCTCTCAGGCTGTTTTCACACCTGATGGTCCAGTGGACTCGGTTCGACTGGAAACCAAAGTTTCAATCTGCTGTAGATGATGTTCCACCTCTTTCTGCTCCGACTCAAACCAACCAAACCTTCAGCAACCTGTTCCCCTCCTGGCCTGTGGGGGCGCTGCACATTGCACCTCTGAAGGAAACGACACACAAACCTCTGAAGAAGACAATGAGCGCAACTTCCTCCTTCATCAAATGTAAACAAAGTGGAGCCATCAGATGTTTGGAGGATTTCTCTTTGGTCTTTGGCTAAAGACCATGAGCCATTTCTCCCGCTAGCGTTAGCCTAGCGCGTTTGTTTTGGTTGCATTTACCCAGAATGCCCTGCACTGCTTTTGGAGCAGTCTTTGGTTTGCTTGGCGTTCTCATGTGCAATTCGAACCGCAGCAGAGTTCACTTCACCTGAACCCAGACGGAGGTTTATAGGCGGACCGGAGTTCACCGCATCTTTCCAAACGAACCGGACTTTCTATTCAAACGGACTGGAGCGAACTAAACAGGGCTCCCGTTAAAGTTTCATCAGAGAGAAGCTCCGTCTGCAGCGTTCCCTGTCCCCAGGTGCTCCCTGTGGAAACACCAAATCACCTGATCAGAAGTTATTTCTGTCTGAACTCAAAGCCTTTGATTCTGCTGAGTCAGCACACGGATCTGTTGACGACAGAGAGGCGTCCCATCGCTCACTCTGCTCCAGGCCAGGATGTCTCCTCAGAGGAGGAGACGGGAGCTGCTGAGGGACACACACAGCGGTGCTGACTCAGCTGGAAACCAGTTCCCTCCTCTGGAGCTTCTCCAACATCCCTCCTTCAGTCAGAGCCTCACTCAGTTAATGAAACGGATGAAAACTGGACTTCAGACGATGAAAAGTCCCAAGAAGCAGCTGATGAGAGCAAACCGGCCTGTCAGCACCGGGTCCAGGTCAGATCTGGACCTTTTCTTCCTACTGAGTGAGCTATAAACCAGTTTAAACCGGTTTAAACTGAATTTAACCAGTTTATCCTGAATGTAACCAGTTTATCCTGGTGAACCGGTTTAAACTGGTTCCCAGTTAAACCAGTCAGTTCACATGTTGGGAAACATCAGTAGTTTTTAATGCGGTGGCAGTAAAATCCTTGGAGTTTTAGACGCTTTTCCTCTAAGAAACAGAAACAATTTGGTCTTAAATCATAACATGCAGATAAACCGAAACTGCCTGTTATTTAGACTTTATTATCTTAACATTATGACTTTATTCTTCTAATACTTTTTTATCATATTTCAACTTTATTCTCTTACAATTTTATTGTTGTAACTTCATGATTTTATTCTCATCTGTTACAACTTCATTCCCATATTATTTCAACTTTATTCTCATAATTCTGACTTTATTCTCAGTTTATTCTCATTATTTCACCTGTATGTTCATATTATTTTGTCTTTGTTACCATGCGACTTTATTCTCAAAATATTATGACTTCATTCTCATTTTGTCACCATTTTGTACTCATATCATGACTTTATCCTTATACAACTTTATTCTTGTAATATTGACTTTAATCTCATTATTTGGACTTCATTCTCATAATATTACGATTTTATTCCCGTATTATTTTCACTTTATTCTCGTAATATTTCGACTTTGTTCCCAAACCATTTTATTCTCATAGTTTTATTTTTCCTCAGTTTTGCCCTGAAACTCGTTCATAAAGATGAAAGTTGGTGTAAATTCATCGGTTTCTCTTGTCTGCCGTTCATCTTTAGCCGCTGGCCCTCTGAGTTGTTGACGCTCCTGTCGTTTCTTGGAGTCCCTCAGGGACGCCTCGCTGTTTTCTTCTTCTCTGCCCGGAGAAGATTTGCTGCTTCAGCAGGAAGCATTCACTCCCGCCAAGCTGCCCGCTGCAGCAGCAGATTAGGTTTTAATTCGTGATGAGGCAGCAGCCTCCTCTGTTGGAGACGAAACGCCGCCTGAATCCTCCTGAGGACGGAGCCGGATAATCCAGAAACAAAGCGGCGCTGCGGCTCACGGTGACAGATTCCAGCTCCGCCTGCTGCTGCTGCTGCTGCTGCAGCAACACGGAGCCTTTATGTGGAGGCGCAGAGATTTACATCAACATCAGGTCACGTCCTGCTGTGAAACGCCAAACTGACAGGAGAAAGGAGCAGCAGTGACACCCTCAGAACCAGAACCTACAGAACCTACAGAACGGCCCTCTGCTCCAGCAGCCGGCCTCCGTTAAGCCTCAGCAGGCGTAATTAACCCGATGCCCGCTGAAAGGAGACGTTTATTCTGCTCAGCTTTAAGGTTTCTACAGGATTTAGTTCTGAACCAACACAGAAACATCTGGGAAACATTTCTGTTTGTTTGGACGTCTGACTCAAATCCTTGTTCTGCTCAAAGTTTTTGGTTTTGTGACAAAAACTGTCCAAGTCCTGAACTCCAAGCTGGTGGACGGAGTGTCAGGGTCACACTGAGGAAATTAGAAAAAACACGAGGAAAAAGTCAGAATATTACAACTTTATTCTTGTTTTATTGACTTTTATTCTCGTAAAACTGACTATTCTCAAAATATTACGACTTTATTCTCGAATGTAATTTTGTAACTTTGTTCTAGTATTTTTATTTTTTATCTGTTCTTAGTTCTGCCCTAATACTCCGTAAGCTGCAGGTTTGAACTTTGACCTTTTCCATGTTTCATGCCTCTGGTAAGGCACAGCAGGAGCTTTTGCTGCATCAGAATTTCTTCAGAAAATGTTTCCGTCTTTTAGAGCATTAACTCTTTTTTTGGAAAACCCAAAAATCACCAAAACGAGCGTAAAAACTTTTTTCTTTTTGCAAAATTGAGGGAATTATTTCAAATTTCGTCATTTCCATCAACTTTTTCTATGGCAATACTTCAAAATTTGCATGAACACGTCATACACATCATTTTTTGGAGGATTTCAATGAAAATACAAGATAAAATTGCTGAAGTAGTTTGATAGAAATAACCAGAGCTATTCCCAGATCAAAGGTTGGATTATTTAACATTTTGGGTTAAAGTTTAATGGATTTGAGCCTTTTTGCATGAAGTGATGTTTAATGTGAAAAACGATTCTTTCAGACTCCAGCAGCGGTGAGGATGACGGACTTTAATCCTCCGTTTTGAAGCTAACAGGATTAAAAGTTGAGGAGAGTTTTCTTTTCAGCGTCCCTCGATTTCCACGTTCAAACTTCTTGGTCATTAATAAAAGAGTCAAATTAAATCTGGAGCGCCAAAACAAAGCAGAGAACAAAAGGAATAACTCAAAGGTGTCAGCGTCCTGTTTTAGTTTTGGATCTCCCTCATGATCTTCCGCTGTTGGGTTTTTTATTATTACTTCAAAAACGTTATTTTCCGTCTCGGATTCCTCCCTGCCTGCTGCTCCAGTTGTACCTGTGACAGCACACACACCTCGTCTTTAAACACACACTTCCCACCGCAGTGACTGAATCGGAGCCAAGTTGGCGTCGCTACAAAGAGGCAGCCTGCAGCAGCGGCACAGATACGGCGGGGCGGGACAGGGGACGGGAGGACGGGGGGACGGGAGGGGAGGGAGGACACACTCTGAGTCTAAGAGCCTCTTAAAACCTGCCGCAGAAACACTCTGAGTGTTTGTAGTCATGTAAAATTAAGCTGAGGCGCCGCTGGAGCTGTCGTTTGAGGCGACAAATTATAAAAGTGACGGACGGGGAGGCGACACACACGACACACACGACACACACGTCTCCGTATGGACCGGGACACACACGTCCCCGTATGGACCGGGACACACACGTCTCCGTATGGACCGAGACGAGCAGGACTGAGAAAAGTTTGAAGTTTTTAAACGCAACTTAAAACCCAAACAGACTCAGGAAAACTAAAACTATGAATTAAGAGAGGAGGATTTATTTTTTAAAAACAAAGGTCAGGACAATTATTTACAATAATTGTACTCCATTAGAGCAGGGGTGTCCAAAGTGTGGCCTGGGGGCCCTTTGTGGCCCTCAGGCTGATTTTGTGTGGCCCCAAACTGCAGTTCAAAAAAAGATACAGATTGGACTCACATATTTTTAATTTGTAATCATAGTAAAAAATAATGTTACATAAAATGTAAACTACAACACAAAGCATCACATGAAGTCAGTTTTTATCAGACATGTTTTCTGTTTTTCCAGCACTGAAACTTCAGCTCAGAGGAGGAGCTGCGTCTTGTAGGCGGGGCTAGGCCCACCCAGGCGTTTCGGACAGCTGAATGGTTGCCATGGCGATTAAAGGCTTTCTCAAACATGCATGAAAGAATCAAAGCAAAACTCCAGGAATGTTTACGCTGAGAGGATAACATTATAACACGATGAAAAGCTCAAAAAAGTCCATTTTATATAATACTGCTCCTTTAAGAACAGCAGAGTCTGTTTTTCTGTGATCATAAAGTCCTGATTTCAGTGACAGGATGTTTGTTACACCTGACCCAGATACTCCGGTTCTGTCAGGAGAAACGGGCCAGAATGAGAGTAAACCCAGCAGAAGACAGAAACTGACTTTAACCGGGTTTAGATCATCATTAGAAGGTCTTAAAGTTCTCTCTGATGATCAGTTCCTTTAAGGAAATCTAATAAATTTACAGAAAGACCATCCCGACCCGAAGAACCTGCCGACGCCCGGTCCCACCCATCAGGTGATCCGGCGCTGCGTTTGAAGCCCGACCCTCAGAGACGCTCTGATCCTGAACTGTGTCAGCGAGCGGCGGTGATTTCTGGCTAACGGGACGCGATCGTCTGATATTCTAATTAGTGCTACATCAAAACAGGAAGGAGGTCTCCTGGCTCCCGGAGGACAGGAGGCCTGTCCAACAGCGCCTCTGTCTCTGTGTGAGTGTTTACCACGTTTCCAGGTCATCTCATCTCATTTCAGCACCAAAGTCTCTTTTCTGAGGACAGCAGGTTCAAACGACGTACGGTAGATTCCACACAAACTGCTTCCTGCAGGAGCAGAATCGTGTTTGTAGTAGGAAACTCAGGGGTCGTGATTTTCCCACCTCCACCTCTGGAATAGTCAGTAAAATATTCACACTGATACTCTGTTTAATTTTCCAAACTTGTTTGTATGCAACAATTTTTTCATAAGACTTTAGATGGACAGACGTGCTTACAGACAGTAAAGGTTAAATGTGTAACTTTGAGAGAAAAATATTTGTTGAAACTCATCAGTTTATGAGATAATCTGTGAAAAATGGAGTCCTCTGGAACAACCAATCAGAGCGCGGGGGCGGGTCTTAGCGCTGTCAGTCACAGTCTTGTTGGCGCTGCCAGATTTTCCCCATCAGCAGATTCTGCTGCGAATGCTAGGCTAGTTAGCATAGCCACCGATGATGGCAGATAAATGGGTTTCCTGTAATGATAAGTTGTTTCTCCACCATTATTCATTTAGCAGTGAGTACACGAGGATGATTGACAGCGCTGAGACCCTCCTCCTGGTTCTGATTGGTTGGTTTTGGAGCATTTCTTCAGATGGCTGCAGCAGCTCAGGGAAGAAAGATCAACCTTTTCACAGATTATGTCTCAAACCTTCGCAACATGGCGGCAGTTTAAACAAAAGATTAAAAAAACAGATTTTCTATAAAAGCCACAAGTTCACAACACGACGACCCGAAGCTGAGCCAGAACTCAGGAACCAGATCAGGTTAGAAACTCTGCAGCTCCAACAAACTCCCAACATTTAAACGTCTGCAGACATGAAGAAAGTTTCTGGAGGAAACCCGCCGTGTGTTCGTCTGGTTATCGATTTATGTTTAAACTACAATCACTTACTTCACTGTGTTTTCATCTCAGAGAGCAAATAGACATTAAGCTGCATAGTTTTCATTAAAAACATGAAAAATTGGGATTTTCTGAAACATTTGACCAGTAGTGATGGTTGCACTCTTTGGCTTTTCTAAATCCTGATCAGATCAGACGCCGAGTCGTCATTTCAGATCACAGCAAGAAGTTTTCCACCTGCATAACTGGTTTTAAATGTTTTCTATATGAACCCAGTGAAATAACATCCCATGTCTCAAAACAAGGATTTCTACTTTTGACCTCAGAAGCATCAGCTGCTTTTTCTGCTGTTGATCTGAAATCTGGAGCTTCTTATTCAGTTATTTCATCTTTTTATGTTCGAATGTGAATCAATATTTTCATCTGCAATCAAACCAAATGAAAATCACGAATAAACGAGTCCAGTTATGTTTTCGTCTTTGTCCAATCATGTTCAGCTGCAGGGAGGAGTCAAAGGAAAATAAAAAAGCAGAACATGTACAAAGCTCAGATGAGAAAGAAAAGTCCAGAGAGGAAGAGGAGGAAGAGGAGGGAGCGACGTTCTGGAGAGGAAGAGGAGGAGAAAAGACGTTAAACTGCAGATTGCTCACGAAGCGAAAGAACAAATAATTTAACAAGAATTAGGAAGAAGCCACTTTTCTTTCATCAGCAGAAACAAAAAGGTAGGATTTTAAAGTACTTTATGAAAAATATCATTTTTTTAAAACCTTCAAATTTAACAATTTTACTTTGAATAATGCAGGATTTTTATTTCTCTATTTCAGCTCATTTTGACAGTTTATTTCTAAATGAACTGAGTTTTTAAACTGCTAACATGAAAAAATATGAAATTAAAAAGTTTAATTTAAAAATGAAAGTTGGATTTTTTTCATTTTCACTTTTTATAGTAAAATGAATCAAACACAACAAACAGGTTTGATAAATAAAAATGTTACAGTGATAACTAAATGTTTTATAGTGAAAGTAAAAACAAGTAGAAACAAAAATTCAAAATACTTTAATTTTATTATTTTGAATTGTTATTTGATTTTAGTCATTTTTTATAACTGTTCCTTTTCATTACATTTTACTATTTTTATTTTTTTCAGTTTTCTGCTCTGTTTTCCAGCTGAAAGGTGAATTTCATCGCTGCTCAGGTTTGATCGGTTCTACTTCATTTTGCAGGATGAAGGTGTGAGGATGACTCCAAATGCTCAGGAGGTAAACGCTGCACCAAATACGTTTTACTAAAAATAATGTTAAAATGCAGCATGTGACCGAAGGAGGACAGAAACCTGACCTCTGTGTCCGTCAGTCCGTCAGGTGCAGCGTCTCGTCCTGCAGCTGCGCCTGTTTTAAACCCGGAAAGGTCAAGCTGAGGTCATGTGATCGCTGTGGACACGGCTGGGTGGAGCACGGTAAAAACACGCAAACTTTATCAATCACCTCAGTTCATAAAGCAAGAAGGAACAACGTCATCCAGTCCAACCGGACAGAACTTTCTGTTTCCTGCTGATTTTATATGTTTGCTTTAAAAATCCCTGCAATATTTACCCAGAATGCTTCAAAGCACCAGAACATGAAGATGGAGGTTATGACACAGCTGAAGGTTTTCAGGGGCAGATTATGTTGGATTATGGATGTAAAACCTGCAGATTATTTTATTGGAGAACTTTAATTAGGCCGTTGTGGACGGCTCTGTTCTGTCAACGACTGAAGCTCTTATTGTTATTCAGCTGCACATAAAAATAAATAACTAAAAATAGAAAGTATTAATATAAATATATACAATAAAAAAAGATTAATAGAGTTTATTAGTCTTGAGTTGTTTCTAAAAGCATCAACTGTCTACAGTTATGATTGGCATGTTTTATTAGAGTCTGAAGTATGTTGGAAATATTATTTTACTTCACTGAGTCTAAAGAACCGGATGCATTTAGTGCAGGAACATCCAGCATGTCAGTGACTGCAGGAGAAAACATGTTCAGGTCCTTCATCTCCACAGAAATCTGAGCAGAAAGGCTCAGAGGAAAAACTCCTGATGTGTTTCTGACTAACTCAGACAAACCCGGAGACGCCCAGTGAGCCTGGAATCTGAGCAGAACGTTTTGCGCTGGGTTCAGTCCCGGTTCCGGTCGGACGCGTCCTTCAGAGTCCCAGCAGTGACGGTTGGTCCTGCAGCTGGTTCAGACTCTGAGGTGACACGGTTCAGGTGTTGCTGTCATCGTGTCGGCAGGAACATCTGGGTGGAACATCTGCGTCGTGCGAAGGCGGATCAGGTGTTGTCAGGTTCATCAGGACGGTTTCCTCCAGCACCTGCTGCAGCCCTCCATGTTCCCCCTCCGCCTCCTCCAGCTTCGCTCCACACGTCTCTGACTCACATCCATTCATTTTCCTTCTCAGCTCTGGAGACGGTCCAGGCCGCTCCGCCGTCCGGCGCCGGCCCGGTGGAGGTGGCGCTGCCCGGGCTGGTGTTCGACCTGAGCTCCCTGGTTCTGTTCGGAGCGCAGGCCGTTCCCGTCCAGCTGAAGATCCTACTGGACCGGCTCTACAGCGTCCTGACTCCAGAGCAGGTCCGCCACCGTCTCCCCGGGTCTGTGGTCTGGTGCTGGCCGGGTTTTATGGGTTTCTTTTGCCTCCCAGGTGGGTCAGATTCTGAACGGTCTGGGCTGGAGTCTGGGTGATTACGTCCGCGGATACATGCTGCAGGTAAACCCCGGCTAATCCAGTTCAATCTTCTGAAAATGGACACAAAGTTCTCACCTTTTATCCAACATGTTAAGACTTTGGTTGATCCGCTTTGTAAACTCGGCTGAATGATTCTGAAGCGACCCA